GTAGTTAACTTCTGTAATTAACTTCCTTCAAGGTTTAGTAGAGAGTGAGTCCGTAGAAGCCTTCAAAGGGGTTTGGTGGGTGCTAGTCTATCCTTTTTCCAAAGATCTTGTAATTGTACTGGAATACGTAGTGTATTTTGATGCTGACACACGAAAGTGCAAAGATTGCTCTTGTTCTTGCTTCATTCCTTTGCAGAAGCAAGAGGTCAGTCCAACCTCGAAGTGCCGGGGGCCGCATCACCTACCGACACCAGAAATTGGATGCCCGTTAGGCGAAAGGCGCTAGCGTCTGTTTGACCTGATCAATACTTACATAAATCCAATGCTCTTGCATTGAAGTAGGTAAAATATAAGTATATGTTCATCGTCAGCAATTACAAATGCATTGGCATTGTTTGATATACAGCTACTGGGTCGCAGGCGCCCACCTTGACATGTTTCTGGTTCCTGCGGGCGATATTGAACTCCTTGTTCTTTTGTGAAAACTTCGCGGAGGTGTAGTTGTGCCTTTTCTCCTTGGAACAGAATCCCATTCACCGAAGGGCACTTTAAATTGTTCGCACATTATTTGGCCACTCAGCTGCCCCAATTGTGCGCACATGGAAGAAATGAGTGAAGGGATTATAAGGCATACGAAAAGTTAAAAACAATTCCGATAAATGCGGACAAAAATAGAAACAATTTGTTAAGAAATAAAATAAAGCTGCGTGCTTTAGTAGAAAAAGACCAATTACCAAGAAGATACAGCCTTACTTTTCTTACGCTGATATTGCTCCCCGGCGCGAAATTTCAACCTGTTATTCTCAGATAAAAGAAAAAGCCTTTCTACAATTAGAATACCGCTTAAAGTGGCACAAAATTACACTGGTCTTGACCAGCTTTAGCGCTTGAATACGTGGAACGTAAACGCAACACAATGCGTGCAGTAGTTTGCGAGTTATTCCCAATTAAATGATGGTCTACAAATAAGGCCATTTTTATTTTTCGCTAAAAATGGCTTTCTGCTTTGCAAGCAGATAGCAGAAAAAAGAAAACGAAATATAAAAAGTAGGGAAGCGGCGTATGTTCTAGATAGGCATAGCTATCCAGAAATGCTCTAATTAGCCCGTAATACCCTGCGACAACTACGGACTGCGCAGGTGGCCGAAAAGTAAACTTTGCAGGCACACACGACAAATATATGCAGATAAGGGATGATTTTGCGCGAAAACGCTAGAAATCCAGGAATATTATATCTACATGGGAATCCAGGGGAGCTTGTAATTAACTCAAGGTCACAGCATACCATTTTCAGTGGATACTGAGCCACATAAACAACCAGTAAAATAGAGTTTAGCATTTTTTAAGCCTCCAAGCTTTTCTAAAGCTTACAACAAGCCCGCATGAGCCAGGTCTACCTGAGTAACCCTGGGG